TTTTTTTTTTCTTTTTCTTTTTAATGTCAACTGTACCACAGAACTTCATCTAACCTAATCATGGGATGAAAGCCATCTTGTGTTATGCATGGCCTATACACTGGTGGGTGGGAGGAAGGGAGTGAAGGTTTGGGCTGGGCAGGAAATCTTGAGGGCTATCTTAAACTTTATAATTCTGTCTATCGTAGACATAATGGGAGTAAAGTTGCAACTTGTAATTTTCCCCCCTTCTCTAACCAAAGGTTATGGAAGAAGTATATTTACTAGATGTAAACTATTGCTTATTGGTCTGATGACTGGACAGTGATTTTTAAGTAGTGTCCTGAGAATTCTATGTAGTAAAATCTATGTAGTGACATTTTTATAGAATTATAAATTATGTAAATAATGTAAGAGTTTGCAAAAAAAATACCCCACATTATTTACAGAGAACTTTAGTTTAATGAACCTTTCCTAATGAAACGTGATAATTCCAATTAGCATAAATTGAAAGCTTATGCTAGGAACCTAGAAAGAGTTTATTGCTTCTAAGAACTATGACTGATAGGGTAACTAAGCCTATACTTAGAAACTGACTTGCTTGGTTAGTTTATCTTGGTTCCTTTTCCTAATGTTTCCTTTATAATTCTACAAGGAACACCATGTCATGAATTTAGTACCAATCATCTGAACTGTTTCTTCTAATTGTCAAAATGGTATTTCATTTAAGAAGTGAAATATTGAGCAAATTCACAACAGCATCAAGCTATAAGCTGGTAAATCCAGTGTTATACAGTCTGGCAAAATAGCAAACTGACATCATTGGTATAGGACCTGTAAGTTGCATAAGACCCTGCTTGCCATAGCAGACACTCCCTACACTGACACACACACTTGGTCTAATATTCTGCTGTCGCTGACTTGAATATTTAAACATTTTTCAACAAGGGGGTCCATATTTTTATTTGTGCTGGAACCCACAAGTTATGCAAATAGTTTTATATACACAGTAAATAAGTTAAATATTTTGATAGTGTGAAAAAACTCAGCTGTCAATTATTTTAGTAAAACTTATGAAGTAAATTCAGCCTACCAGTTTTGAGGAAAGTGGCTTAAACTATATATATATGATACTGATTGTGATCATGTGGATTTTTTTTTAGCTATATTACATACTCATAATTTCAAGTAGAAAATTCAGTTAAAGTACAACATTACATCTTCAACTATTTCTGTCAATAGAATGAAAATACTAGTCCACAGGGTTGTGAACTCATTTCAATAATAGAATCTGTTTTGCCCAGATTGTAACACATTGTTGGTGATCATTAAATTTAATTGATAGTGATGTTTGTTAAATGGGCTGTTAAAATAGAAGAATCATTTAGTTTTAGTATCTAAAATAATCAACTATAGGCTAGAACTGTTTATAGCAAATGTTGAAGATGTAAAGGAAACAAAAATATAGCATATTGATTATGAGTATGAGTGTGGGTTGTGAAGCCTCATTGCCTACATATAAATCCTGGTACTGTCATTTTCCAGCTCTATGACTACAGATTAGTGAAAAGGCTATGGGGTAACACTAGTTTTATTAAATCACTAGTAGCCCGGTGCACGAAATTTGTGCACATTAAAAGGGAATTACTTAGCAGAAATATTTTAATATTGCTATTTGCCCTTTCTCTATAATAGAAGTTTGAGAGATGAAAGGAAATTAGTAAAATGTATATGAAAATAATATATAAATTTATTAATAAACAGTAACAAAAGGATATAACAGCAACAGAGGCATGATATAAAAATGACAAAAACATGATATAAAAACAAAACTGATGCAAACAATGACTGATATAGTGATTCAGCTTATTCTGATATCTCCCTGTACACCACATTAAGAGTAAAAACACTTTCAGAGTGCTTGACTAATTTCCCTTGTGATGAAGTATTTAGAACGTTAACTGTAACATCACATGCTCTTGAAACTTGAGAGAAAGCAACATATAACTGGCCATGTGGGAAAACGGGTTCAGGTAGGAATATTCCTACTCTGTCTAGAGTTTGTCCTTGTGATTTATTAATAATCATCACAAATGCTGGCATCATGGGAAACTGTCATTGAATTAATTTAAATGGGAGGCCAATGTTAGATGGGGGCAAATCAATTCTTGGAATCAGAACAACCTCTCCCTCTGCAGATCCTGTTAATACTTCAGCTTCAATAATGTTAGGTCGTAATCTTTTGATAATAAATCTGGTACCATTACAAAGACCTCATTTACTTTCCCACCAAATGCAACATTCAAATTAAGATTTCTCACTAGCATGATGATTGCACCACTTTCAATTTTAATTTGACACAGCATTCCCGAAGGAGTACTACTACTAAAAAATGTGATGGCAAAATTTTCCTTTTCAGCATCATCTGTTGAATCAATGGAATCAACACTCAAATATGTGTGAAATTCTCCATCGAGTATAATTGTCTTCATTTAATTTTTGAACGTGCTCATTTTTTTGGACAAAGAATTGCATGTTTAGATATATTTTTAATATTATCTATAGATATAGTATTTCCAAAGGTAGCTTCAATAATAGATCCATTACAAATCATTTCATAGGGGATTTCAATAATATCCATTCCTAAATGAAAACTGCTATCAAGTTTGTCATCTCCAAGTTTTACTAACTATTCACTATAAGCAGAGTCCTCTGATCTCATATTTTTTGTAAAAGACAACTTTCTGAAACATCCCCAAACATTACAGTACTTTAAACTCGTTTGTACTGTGGCCGATCACATAGCATGCAGTACAATACTGAGGCATTGTCAAAAATCCCCTCCGAGAAGGAGAACTTTCCCACCAAATGCAACATTCAAATTCATAATTTCTCTTAGTAATCTATCTATGGCGTTTATAGCATGACTGGATGCCATGGTGCATTCATCAATAATAAGAAGTTGGGCCTTTTTAATGATTTTAGCAACTTCGCTCTTTTATTGAGTCTAGAAATTGAAGTTTCATTTAATGGAATCGGTAATTTATATTGGGAATGAAAGTTTCTTCCAATGAGAAGTAAATTTCCAGCAATTCCTGTAGATGCTGTGGGTAAAACAGTACCACCACAACCTCTAATATAATGTATTAAAACTTTATTGTGAGGAGCTGCTACAGTGTTTTGGACAGGTTCAAGCCTTGGACTGATGAGAGGGCACAGTCCTTTCATTGCCACGAGCAAGTCTCAGCTTGGAGGGCAGGGCCCTCCCAGCACAATTATAGCCAACAGCTATAGTTGTAAGCTTGAACCTATGGTCTGAACATGTGGCCCCACATGCCTGAGTGATGTAGGCTTGATAGAGTTCAGGTGCATGTAGTTGAGTAGGATTGAAACCCAGGAGAATGTTGTAAGCATCTTGGTCATGCCCTGCTTTGCCCCCTGGCATCTGCTATAAAATAAAGACATGGCTGTGGGCATGTTCGCTGTCTCTCAGAGAAGCAGCGTCCCACTGAGACCCAGCTTTCATTCTCTTGTCTGTCTTTTCTAAGCCTTTCAGCCGCCCCCACTCAGGTTCACCCTTGGCCATGCTGGCATGGCACACTTTATAAAGATATGTCTCCATGCTCCCAGGGCGGGTTCCTGCCTCAAACCTTGCCCTTACCGGAAACAGCTCCGGGAAACAGCTCGGGGGAGGGTACAGCCGTTTCCAAGATAACCCCTGCAGGACTGACTTCTTTCCAGTTGGTTGTGCCTGGGATCGTGCTGTTACACCCAGGGTTTTTATATAAGTAGATACTTTTTACTTAATTGAAATAATTTAAGGGTAATTCTGTCTCTTGAGAGACTCATATTTTCAATTTCCTATTTTACATTCATCTGGCTATTTCGTAAGATTCTCAAATTTAAAGCGTTTAAACAGAAATCTTATTCTACGTCTAATTCCTAACTAGTCTTCATCACTGCTCTTGAAATTAGTAGGTGGTAACACTGCTCACTTCATCAATAGCAACAAAAACCTAGGAATTATTTATTAAACTTCTACCCCCTCACTCCAAACATCTACTATATGAATATATCTTTAGAGTTAGGAAACAGGAATGTATTTGTATTTAAAAATAATATTTGAATTGCATATTTTTAAAGTTTAAAATACTTTAAATAGTATACCTAATTTTTAACTCTTCATTTAAAGGAAATCCCCTGATCCATTTGCACTTACTTATGCATGTATCACAATTTTCTTTTCTATTTCTTTATGTAAAAATTATTTCATAAGTTAAATGGCAGAAATAAGCTATTCACATCAAACTAAGACATATAAGGAACATTACTTGTAAACCCATACATATTAATATGCTTCAAACATCACAAGAAAATGTTTTTAAAATATTTATTGTAGATACTGATTTTTATATTTCAAATAAATGACATTTAGAACAGAAAAGTTTATAATTTTAAAAATATATTTTTATTAATTTCAGGAAAGAAGAGGGAGAGAGAGCTAGAAACATCAATGATGAAAGAGAATCACTGATTGGGCTACCTCCTGCTCACCCTCTCCTGGGGATTGAGCCTGCAACCCAGCATATGCCCTGACCTGGAATCAAAACTGCTACCTTTTGGCATATGGAACCTGCTCTAATCAACTGAACCGTCCAGCCAGGGCTGGAAAGTTTATAATTTTTAATGGAGCCATTAGATCTTTATTGACTCCCTTAGAGTACAAATTTTTCATTGGAAAAAATATCCTCAAGGCAAATGTAAAGTAGTATTTTTACTTACAGGAATTAAGAACAAATTTAGTCTTTCAATGGAGCATATCTAAAATTTGAAAGATTGCATTAATTTTGAAATATGGGTAAAATTTACTATAGAGATTTTATTTTCAAACAAAACAAGGCTATGCTTTGAGCTATTTAATATGACTGTGGCAATGTAAAGAATCGCAAAACTAACATTAAAAGTTTTCACTTGGGAGTAACATAATCTCTGAGCTTAATTAATGTAATTATTGTTGGCAGATCTGTTCCACCCAGCTTCTTTGTGGTGATGAAATAAGGAGAATTATCCCTTTACTTCCTTTCTCTACAAGAACAGATGACATCCCCTACTCAAATATATATAGTACCTACTTCAGAGGTACAAGGGCTACAAGACTATGAACCATAATGAATACTTATCCAGTTGACCAAGGCAAGTAGATGAGAGTAAGATATAAAGATGTTTGTAGCTGAAAAAGTTGTATATTGAAACTTATTTTCTGACCTATTTCAATGTTTCTGATAATGTGATAAATCAAGAGCATAAAATTGTCTTAGAATTCTTGTTGGTTATGTATCATGTTTGAAGTTTGTTTTAAGAATTATAACCCTTAAGAGGATATTCATTATTTAAAGACAATATTTTTGAAGGGGGATATTAAGGGCAGAAAGGTAGACTCTTCTATTTTTTTGCCTCTATACATTTCTGATACTTTAAATAATTAAATTAAAATATAATACGATCTAATACACAGAATATTTTACCAATTTAGAAAGTAAAATGATATTTTCTAACATCCCTAGCCCAATAGGTCAAATAGTCCTAGTCATTGATCCTATCAATAACAAGGAGTTGTAAATTTTAATGTTTGTGTAATTCAAAGTGGTCACTGAGTTTGTGATATGGCTATTCTGCCTGACACCACTTGTTCTGACTGTGGCCCTCTCATGGAGTGTGAATAACAGGAGTTCTTGCATTTATGTAATTTGTGTAGTCACTAAACTTTCTCATATACTTTTATATGCTATATGATTTATAGAGCCATATTTGTCTACATATAATGGGTGTGAGATGGCAGTGTAATTTGCAGAAGAGTCAGCCCAGGGCCAAAGCTGTTCATTTTCAATTCATTTTTATTTTTTATTTTTAAGTTGGCTTTTTCTCCTTTGAAGGCTTAAAAGAGACAGACATTTCCAAGCATGAAATTCTCTCAACCACTGGTTTGTCAGCAGTAAGTATTGGCATATCCCTTGAAAGCTATCTACTGAAAGAGCTGATTTCTACTAGACAACTTTCAACAAAACACACACTTACTTCTTCCACAGATGTTTCCTCTTCTCAGTTTCTGAATTTTGATTATCATGACACAACACAAATTGTCCGGAGCACAACAGCTGTCTCACATATGCCTATCCAAACTTCAGCTGTCACACCAGGATTCTTTTTCTTCAATAGAAGAGAGAGGACCTCGTTTATCATCTCTTCTTTAATGACAGAATTTATTTTTCCTACGCAATCTGTATTACTTGACAATGATCAGGCTGTTGCCTTATCTGCTGCCACAATGAATTCAGTAATTAGTGGCATTCCAGGGGCCTATGCTGAGTTAAACAGGCACTCATTCCTCTCCCCTGGATTGCTGCTCACAACTGCTTCCACAAGCATACCTCCAATTGTTTCTAGGGGGCTCAAGAGGATACTGAAGAATATTCAGCTGTTACCGTAATTTCAAGAAGAGAGTACTGGAGATTGCTGAGCTCCTCAATGTCTCCCATTTCTCCTGCTAAGATAATTATATCTAAACAGGTAGCCATCTTAAACTCATCAACTCTGCCCAGATCCACTACACAAGCCTCCATTCCCAGTGAATATCAGATTATTACTGAAGCATCTAGCAACCAGAGACTCACAAACACCAAATCACAGACTGCTGATTCCTTAAGTGAATTAAGCCAGACATGTGCAACATGTTCTGTGACTGAAATAAAATCCTCTCATAAATTCTCAGATCAAGTTTCGCATAGCGAACAGTCCCATTTTTATGAGACATTCGGGATGAACTCAGAGATATTAGCCAGCTGGTATGCACTAATGGGAACTCAAACTATCACTTCTAGGCATTTATTTTCTTCTGCTACAGAAATAATGCCATCACTAGCATTCAGAGAACTGTCATCTTTATTTTCTTCTAAAAAGAGTACAAAAGGAATAAGTTTATCCTTATCCTTGGAGGAATACATTACTTTATCAAGTAATTTGGATGTTAATTTATGTTTGGATAAGACTTGTTTATTCATCATCCCTTCAACTGTCTCTTCTGATCTGCTGAATTCTGATTTGACTTCAAAACTGACTACTGATGATCTGTTAGTATCAAGAAACATTTTTAAAATATTGAAAATAGAACAATATGGTATAACTGTGGGTCCCACTGAGACACTGAATGAAGACAATTTATTGGGTATGCAAGAGAATAAAGGATCTCAAAAACAGCTCAAAGTTCCTAAGGATTTTAAATTAAATTTACAAAGTCATCCAGAAACTGTGTATTCAAATGACCTCAAATACAACCCTTCACCTTATATAGACTCAATAACTGATATTTCAGAAGCAACTTCTGCTGTTGCATTACACACCATTTCACCAACTCAGTCACTTCCAATACAGGCCTCTTTTCCCATGTCTGTATTTATGCCAGATTGGACATATTATACAGATGATCTGCCTTTAACATCTGATTTAAAAAAAAAAAAAAAGAGTTCAGAACTTCTTCAGAATGGTCCAAATGGGAACTTCAGCCTAGTGTGCGTAATTGGGAATCTGCTGCCGCAGGCCAGTGGCTTCCCATCACTACATCTCTTACTTTGTCTTCATTGGAGTCCATTCCAGGACCTCGTCAGCTGATGATTTCTGGTGAGTTTCTCAGTTTCAATTCAATAAACTTTTAGAAAGGAGTTTCTTTTCTACAGAAAAGAAAGAGCCTGTTGTAGTCACCAGGTGCCCTAAACAACTTCTTTGTAATCAGGGCAGCAGCCAGTCAGTGAAGAAGGCACCTGCTGTTGTTCCTGACACAGATGGTTATTCTTAATGCACTGCCACAAAGGCTACCAGATCAATAGGGGAGTTTGTGGGAGATGGCTCTACTGCTGGCAAGCAATCAGAAACTAAACTAGTTCAATTCATTACAATGGATCTTTCAAAGTTCAGGAATATCTTTTATTATTCTCATTTCTTGAAATAGCTTCTTTGTCAGATTGAACACAATGTAACACATTTCCTAGCATTTTCTTCAGTACTGATATTTTCTTTTTTTAATGGGAAAGATGAAGAAATTAAGGGAACTTGGTTGGGTTTTCCCATCCTTCATGGTGAGATTTATCATTTCTTAATGCAAAGCTGTGATGCCTTCATGAATATAACTCAGAATATAAATTAAATCCATGACTTTCACTTAACAAAATACTACATAAATTGAAACAAGGTAATATTCCATGTGTGAATTTGAAATAATTAATGAAAAGCCACTTTTCTTAGATAAATATTCTTACTTTAAAGTACTTTAGACATCACTAATCTTCTCTACTTTGTAATTGCTATTAAATTGGAAAACATGCAAACAAGTTTAATGAATTGTATTTATTAAATAGATTTTTTTTTCCATTATTTAAAGAAGTTCTGTCTCATGGAATTTCAAATGTAATGGTAGCAGTGCAGTAAATTTTCATTCAATGCAAAAATGATTTTGTGTGTCTATGCTTTAGAGGAAACACATATAAGTGTTTAGGTGTGTAATTTATGTCTGGCATCTCAGTAATATGAAAGACCAAATTATATTTGATATACTAGTATTTAGTACATGATTTTATTTTTTTTATGTTCATCACTTTTATTTTATACAGTCATCATTTTATTTTTTATTTTATTTTTATTGTTGACACTATTACAAATGTCCCCATTCCTGCCCCCACTTTGCCCACCTCCACTCAGCCCTTGCCCCACCCTTCCCTCTGGCTGACAGCACATTGTTGTCTGTCTTTGGGTTAGCTAATCCCTTCATCTTCCTTCATCCAGTCCTCCCCACACACCTCTGTTTACAAAATTTCTAAAATTTTCATAATTTGTTAAATTGAAAATTTAAAGAGGTATTCTTGTACTTTTAAAAGAAGAAAGCTTTTTGTATAACTAATACGACACATCTGCAATACCTTCTACATCACTTGTGTCACATATAAGGTTCTCTATAAGTAGATGCAGCTGAGTATACCTTCTACTCTAATACAATTAGCCCCTTAGGAATACAGGATACAAATTCTTTATTTCCAGGAAATCAAATTCTAGGCTTGCTCTTTATGCACAAAATTGTCACGTTCCATTTTTCTCATTCCCTAACTCCAACTGCTAATATGCTTTGATGATTTTGACCTCCTTTAGTTCTCCCCATTTCCTCCCAGTTTCACTTTCCTAATTATTTGAGATATGATAATCATTTACAAGGCACATGTTGACACTTTCCAATATGCTCACCCACTGTGTTGTCCAAGGCCAAATCAAGGAATAGATAGCACACTCTAATTGAACATTTGGGAAGAGTTTAATAAAGAAATTATTTACAAAGATATGGGTATAATTTGAGGAAAACAGAGACTGTATGATTCTGGAGGGACTAGTAACAGCAGAATGTCGTTACTACCCCAACGCCGAGGGACAAAGTAAAGAGCAGTTACCAAAATCCAGAACCTAAGGAGAAAATCTGCCAGACTACAGAAGCCATGGCTTTTAGGAAGAGCACACAGGCCATCCAAGGCAAACCAACCAGGAAAAGATCAGGAGATATACACCCACCCTTACTTTCTTCTAGTCTTCTAGTATTCTACTGGTGTTCCATTCAGTAGCTGGAACTGATCTTTAAAAACACATCTGGTTTAATATCTTCATGTAAAAGAAATGTGGGGTAGGCCACAGTAGAATGGTCTATAGTGCTAAAATCTTGGTTAGGTTCCATGACACTGGCAAAATATAGAACAAGTGTATAACTGATAAAGGAAGAATTTCTTTGTAGGCTTCTTAAGTGGACCATTGGGTACTATTATTTCCTCCCTACATGCTACTTCCATACTAAAATATTATAAAAGGTAGGAAGCCCATAATTCTGAGCTCCCTTGCTCTAGTGGATTCCCCAGGCTGCACTGGGTTGCTGAGAAGAAATAATGACACTCCAAAGTGAGGCATCATGGAGTTACCTCCATCAATATGTTTCTTAAAGTTTTGCATAATTTTAAACTGTAGAAGTGCTGGTTAATTGGGTCAAAATTATCTTTCTCAGACATCCTCTAAACCAAACCAGCCTTTGTGGTTTGGTTTAATTCATGAAGTAAATGAAGTTTAAGAGGAAAAAAAAGATACTGTTTTCTTACAATACAACGTTTTCTTACAATGATATGACTCTTTTTTTCTACTAACTATTTGGGAAGAATATAACAGAGAGCAACCAGGGCTTTCTGCCCCAAATATTCTCAATTAGTAATGGATAACAAAAATTGCACAAAATAAAAAAATGGTTTCATTTATCCCATTCATATTCATAAAATTCTAAATTAAAATATGATCAAATATAATATTAATAAAATTCTAGTAAATAACAAAGGATTATTTTATCCAGGAATTAAAAGATGAGTCAAATTAAGACATTTAATGATAAAATTTACCACATCATTAAGTAAAAAGACATTGACAATTAATAGTTTACTGAAAGTATTCTTTCTTTTATTTTTATCATAAGGGTTTATATTATCTTCATATTTTCTAGTATTTATATTTTCCAAACACAAAAAAATATAAATAGATCACAACAAAATTCAATGCCATTCTTAAAGTTGAAACAGAAGAGGCAGTGTCATTAAACTCAAAGTCAAAATGCCTTATGTACACATGTGCACATATTTTTTACAGACCATTTTGTCAATCTCATTAATTAACAAAAACAAAACACAAACTACTGCTTAAAACTATACAGAGCAGAGTTTGAAAGGTAAAGTTCACTAAATAGCCATAAAATTATATTAATGGAGTTATGATGTCCTTATTTGAGGCCTCAGACTTTTAAGCTCTTAATACTACATAAACACTATATCTGAAAAGTATAAAGCAATTTCAAACAAGTTAAAATGGAATAATATTTAGAACTTAAGTCGTTTTAAAGTGCAAGAGAATAACAGGGAATAGTGAATAGAGATGGTAATAAGGGAGCTTGTATGTTTATGTAACATATTAAAATAAATTGTAATAAAATGGTATGTTATTATTACAGGAGATGCATATAAAGGAAATAGAATACAAATCCAGATATACATGATAGATATAAAATACATCAAAAAAGGATTTGAATTTTAGGGAAATGTTTTAGTATTTACTAAATTATGTTGATGCATTGTTATTTTGAGAATTAATACTCTCTACCTTACACCAAAATAAATTCTATGAGGACTAACTAGTTTCAAAAATAAGTATTAAATAATCATAAAAATATCAGTTAATATTTTTTTTATTTTGAAATGGACATATTTAAGCCTGAAGCCCGTGGTCCTTGGCCCCTGAGCAGGGCCCACATGTCTAAATCTTTTAATGTGGGAAATGACTTGTCTATGCACCAACATAGTTTTTTTTTTTTTTTTTTTCAGTTCTTTTGCTTCTGTAGATAGTAAGTTGATAAAAAGATATTTCAGTTGCCTCTCAAGTCTGTTTATACTTGCAGCACATAGTTCAGTATGTCTAGTTGTCACTTTTATGAATGTCCATCAACAATATTTTGAGATGCTATTTAATGTCAATAATTAAGATATTACTCAAACTGCTTGACAGTGTTATCTTCTAAGATTAGCATAACATATGTTCTTTCTTAGTAACCATGTTTCAGTTAGCAACACATTTTATTGAGGATGCACCAGGTCCTGGTCTCTAATTATGGTGTGTGTGATTCACTGCTAAACAAAGCAGATGCCTCCTGCCCTCTTAGAGCTTATTTCCTAGTGGAAAGGGACAGATTGCAAACACTAAGCTTAATAAACCTATATTTCTATATAACCTGTTATATGTAACAAAGTCTTCATAGTATAGTTCTAATATATGTAGAGAGTGTATATGTAGGTATGTATAACTATAATAAAAGCATAATATGCTAATTAGACCCGACTCCTTCCAGATGACCTCTGGATGAAGCCAGGGCTGTGAGGGAAGCCTGGGTACAGGATGCCTGCTGGTTGTCAGAGGGAAGCCCAGGTCCCAGGTGCCAGAGGGAAGCCGGTGCTGGCAGCCAAGGGAAGGAAAGACTACTCTTGCACGAATTTCATGCATGAGGCCTCTTGTTAATATATAATATTTTTATTTTCTATTCTACAGTATATTTATCCTCTATATTATATATGTATATAAAACATTTGCATATATAATATAAATACATATATATGATGTGATAGCCTATATGGATAAAAGAAAAAATAGAGTAGAATAGTAGAGGGCTGGGTGTCACAAGGTCTGGGTTGAGGGGTGAGAAACAATAGTATGATCAGGTTTGATCTCTTTGAGTAAGCCGTCTTGAAGGAGATGAGAGCTGTGTAAATATAAGGAGAAGACTGTCCCATAAAGAGTAAATGGTCAATGCTGTGTTAAAGCAGGTGTGCACTTGACATTTTCTGAGAACATCAGGGGAACCATGGTGGTGGATCAGGTAAATGAGAGAGACTTTTAGAGGATGAAGTCAAATTGATAATAGGGTAGAGCAAACAAAATCACATCCTAAGAACCTTAAGCCATTTTAAGTGTTTGTCTTTTATTCTGAGTGAAACACAATTATTCCAGGGGTTTGGGCAGAGAGATGACATAATCTGGGTGGTCACTCTGGCTGCATTATTGAGAAT